GCCTGGTCACGCAGGAGTTCGAGGCAATGAATGTGCTGATGAGCTAGCCGGCCTGGTCACGCAGGAGTTCGAGGCAATGAATGTGCTGATGAGCTAGCCGGCCTGGTCACGCAGGAGTTCGAGGCAATGAATGTGCTGATGAGCTAGTCGGCCAGGCTGAGACTGATGGCACCATGCACTTAGGTCCATCGACAGCATGGTTCAACGACCACAAAGAAGACAAAGGCTCCACCACATCACACATAATGGACTTAAGGGAAGCCGGTGTCACAAGCAGGACGGGGAGAGACAGCAACCAGTGTAGAAAATATCCAACCAGCAGACGACTGGCATATTCAGCAAGCCAACCTTCTCGTGAATCCTGGAGGGGTGGGAGGAGCAGCTATGGTACATTTGTACTGCACTGCCTATTCCCCAACCATTGACTAATGACAGGATTAGTGAAAAGAGTGTTACAAATCAACACCATTTGTTCACAGCCACAAATTAATAAGGGTGATTTACTTTTAGTAGAGGTTTTACGGCGTTCGTAACTGCATAAGGTCATACGAGCGCCAGAAGATAAAGAGGTGTTACAATACTGTAACAAACACGAAAAAGAAGGAGGGTAGATAAAGACGATAGATGTTCGATAGGAAAGAAGAAGCAAACCACACCGGGGCACCCGCCAACCACCCACAATAAGGGTGGGATACTGTTGGGTGAAAATACGATTATCAAACATAAAAAAACCCTTATCGACAGAGTTAGAGGAGTAGGCTAACGGTTAGAACATTGATACCTTTCGTTACGACCCGAAGAGTTATTCTGTGACAAATCATCAAATGTAAATTCAGAAGTGCTGTCCTGTCTTGCCTCTTTCTTTTCTTTCTCTCTCCGCTTCTTTTTCAATTTCCTTTTCTGATTTTTGGTAAGCGACGTTTGTACTTGTGACGGGCCGGCCTCGGGTTCGTTCGGGGGCCTTGTGGAGTTGGAGGAAGTTGTCTGCTCTTGATCTTGGTTTGTGTTCGGCACTCGAGAACCGTGGTGTCGGCGTTTGCGACGCCGCCGGGTCGAGTCACTTTCTGAAAACAATTTAGGAACATGTCCGATATAACTCTTAGCAATTCTGGTTTAAACCCCCCCCCCCCAAAAAAAAAAAGTAAGAAAAAACAACAACTCGATAACATACCCATAGCAATTTCGGAGAAGATAAGCCAATAACAAACGGAATTTCACTCCATTCCAGAATAAACAAACAAAGAGGTCGCATTTTGGAAAACCAATGTAACTGCATTCGGCTATTGGAGAGCGCGGGACACATCAAACATTTTAGTGTGGAACGAATTAATTTTGAATTTTGCCCGGGTGGAGGCCGAAGCCTACTCTTATGGATTTTAGGACCACCAAATGGTCTTTAACGTGCACAACTTGCACACTGGACCTCCGACTCCAAGATTATTAGCCCTTTTCCGAGAAGGCTAGGTGTTACATCTTACTTACCCTAAGATTAGGGGTGTGGCTGAAAGACAGTAGTAAGAAGGAGCCAAGGTGTAGCTGCAGAAAGAGCCAGGAACCCATACGAGGGGGCAAGGGGTTGGGGGGAGGGGGGCAGAAGTGGAGACAAAAGCAGACAAGAGAACGCAGTTAGAGAGTAGGAAAGGAGGTGAATGGAGAAAATCTCAGAGAAGAAAATTTTCCGTCGCTGTCAGGTTTCGTACCCGGGACCTATTGAATGAGAGGCAAGCAATG